GCGGGTCCCACTTTGGCCGGAAGCCTATGCACATGTCAGAGAGAACCAGCAAGCGTGGCTTTCTGGATCCAGGCCGCTGCCGGACCAATACCCCCGATACCCACCGATAAGGAGAATGTTGTTGGGAGTCACGTCTCCTGCCATTGCCCCTCGCATAGGAGCGGCACATGATGCGGAAGAGAAAATGCTGAATTGGAGTGGAGGGATGGAGCCGCGCTTCATCAGTTGGAACTCTGCGGCCATGCATACGTTCGACTTCACATTCCCGGATGCTTGGAGCCGAAAGAAGAGCAAGGCACCACCTTCCAGGAGACCAGAGGTCCCGGTTGACGTGTGGAATGATGTGTATACACCCGCAGATGATTTGTCACGATTGAAGTGGTCAGGAGAAGTGAAAGTGGTGATATTGGAAGTAGTAAGGGAAAGCAGAGGAGGCACGTACATAACGATCGATGATCTGGCGCCATGTGATCTGGTGAATGACGAGTTATTCTATCACGCAGGGGATCTGACCGTACCGGCGCGACCGGATTCGGGCATAGATATGCGACAAAGCCCTTCGGGACCTGGACCAAAACCAGACCCCAATGATGACGAACTGATGGATCAGGATGACGATCACATGAAAAAAAAGGGAGAGAAGTCGGGTGGAATGGACTTAGGAGCGTTGGAGAGAGACTTGCTGGAGTACCAGTTTAGTGAAAACGACGACGGGGAAGTCGATGGTACTCTATTGCTGATGACACCATCGTCTTTCATGTCCCCTACGAAGGAGGCGCCGGCTAGCTTATCCCCAGTGGATTCAGTAAGCCTGGCAATGGACAACCGGAGTAGGAACCTACAGAAACTGCTCCATGAATCACCAAGGAGGATGAGAATTGAAGAGACCATGAGGGTATTCTTCCTGAATACGCTACCTGAAGACAAATGGGAGAGATACCAGAGCGAACTTGAGCGCAAGACAGGAGTGACCTGGAGCCGAGTGACCTTCATGGAGAGGACATGGGACGTGATACGCAGATATGGGACGGAGTCCGTAATGAAGGTGGGGTTAAACCAACCCATCATGCGCGAGGTTCTGGATAAGCTAATGAGCTCCGTAGAGTCTGATGTTCTGACCGAGTCAGTCACAGAGGATAGTGCTGATGATCAGCAGATCACGAGAAAATTGCCCGTTAGGTGAGCCAAGAAAAGGCTTAAACGGTTGAAAGGGAAAACAGAAAGCAAGACCGTGAATCGAAATGTAGTGAAGTCGAAAGCCAGTGCAGTGGTGGCCTCGTTGGCAAGAGCAGCTCGGCCAAGTGAGAATGGACAAGGTTATGGTGCGACGCTGGCCGGGGGAGAAACCTGATACCTCCGATGCTATTGGCAGGTTTGACCACGACGGCAACAAGGTCGAAGAAAAATGCACGGACTTTGGTGGATACTCAGTTAGAAAGGGAAGTCATCAGTCAGTGTGGATCTGGAGGACTTGATGATTATATGCCCTAGCGAACCAACATGGCCCGAATGAAGCTGGAGGGACAACTCGACATGGTCGAGTATAACCGGATCACAGTGCCAGACTCAGTCCAGATGGGAGATCCAGCAGGGGGTTATGTAGAGATGCTTAAGGCAAGAAATTCTGAGAGAGGGCATCTGATGGCCTGGAACGAGAAGCAAGCCATGCAGGAGTATCTGAAGGAGCTAACGGAGAATTGTAACTTGAATAGAAAAGAGTACGGCACGGTGATGTCCTCGGAGGCAAACGAAGTCGGGCTTGAAAAGCTGCTGGAAATCTCTTGGAGGGCGGCCCTCCAAAGATACTTCGACGAGACGATGCATGCACCTGCGACGGTGGCAGTATACCTGGCTCATCCGTGTATGAGAACTGACTTGCAAGTACGGTTGGCCTGGTGTTTGATGGGGATCAAGAAGTCAGAATATGAGGCCAACAACGACTCAAAATCAAAGGAACAGGAACTGGAATTGATGGAAACCCTGCGAGTATTGATTTCTAGAGACAATTCGGCGATAGCCTGAGCTAAGCGTAAAGGTGCCCTTTGCATCGTGAGGTTCGTGGTGGATCGTATCCCCACTCCCGTGTTGGGAGAATGCATAAACCAATCGGCAAGGGGGAGTTGATTGTGAACAAAACTTTCTGAGGTCACTCCCGGAGCTATATCAGAATATGCCGTTGGCCATACCAAATAAGGAGTTCAAGGACATGGAGAGGGCAATAAAACAGGGGAAACTGAAACGATCACCCATATGGCTACAGAGTTACTGGAGAAAATTGTACTGTGCTCTGATAATTGTTTAATTTCCTTTTGTGTGAAAAATGTATACAATAACGGCATGCTGAAAGAAGCTATTAAAAATGGCAATGAATCAACCTTCGCAAATTTTCTTTCAGAAACATAAATAATTAATTCAAAAAAAGGTCAGATTCGGCGACACTTGACTTTACTCCTGATTTTATCAATGATTATTTCGCTATTATTTGCCATACAGTCAACTATGTAGAACCAGAAATTATAGAAAGTCACAACGGCGCTTACCCAGCCTTCACTCTTCACGAAATTAATCGCAGTCTGAGGAAACTCAAAAAACCTGCAGTGGGTTTTGATGGCATTCCAGCGTGGGTCTTGAGCGAAAATGCCCATAACTTAGCTCTTAGTATTTAAAACATCTACAATTTATCACTCAGAAGTGGTTTTCCCGAAGGCTTTCAAGATTTCGAAAACAATTCCTCGAGCCAAAGTCCCGTAACCAGACAACAAGGACCAATTACGGCCAACATCAACCACACCAGTACTCAGCAGACACTTTGAGCGATTGGTCTACACCAATTTCATAAAAAACAACTACGAAAGTTCACTGAATAATTATCATTTGGTTTCAGAACAGGAGGCTCAACCGTCAGCGCTGCTCTTCGAATAATACACACAGTCGTGACTTCGATACTCATCATTATGACGGTGTACGTCTCTTCTCGCTGGACTTGTCCAAAGCATTCGACAGAGTGCCCCATCAATTTATAATTAGTCAGATCAAACAGATAAAACCAGGAGTCAATACACATGTACTGAATCGGCTGAAAAGCTTCCTATCAGACCGAGTGCAGATTACATCATATCAGAACGAATTGTCAAAATCAGTCTCCATCAACCAAGGTGTACCTCAGGGGACGGTACTTGGACCACCGTCCTTCAATATGTCGTTCGACGACTAGAAGTGTCTTTACAAAAATGCTTGTCTAGTTAAGTTTGCAGACGACAATAATCCGGTAATCGGCGTTAGAGGGATCGACGACCCTAGTCAAATCATTATCAAAGGAATCTTCAAGTGGTGTATGTATTATAAATTTTTTGTCAACACTCTTAAATCCAAAGAAATGAGGTTCAATTTCAAGAAAAGGTACCTTCATCTTCTCAGATATCGGAAGCATACCGCTGGTTGAAAATAGGAAAGTTTTGGGAATTATGATAGACAACAGATTATCTTTTCTACCACATGTATCCAAGACAACCAGTAGAGCTTCCTCAAACCTGTTCCCGCTTCTTAAACTAAAGCGATTGGGATATCGTGCAGATGACCTTTCTTTTCTATATCAGTCACTTGTTCTATCAGTCTTAACGTACGGCTTGGAAATATTGGGCGGCGCTGCAAAACGGTTCATAGAAAAGTGGACGCTGTTCAAAATTGTGCTGTTTGTATGGTTCTTATAAAAGAATTTGTTCCTATCGAAGAACACATTAAAGTCAAAGACGCGAGACTTCTGAATAATATCTCTAAAACTGGTTCGAAGCATCAACTATATGACATATTGCCGCATAGGCAAGATTACTGTTCCAAAAGGTTAAAAAAACGGCTACCGACTACCGAAGTGGCAGTCGAAAAGGTGTATGGATCTATGTTTCCTGACAAACTTTTGAGGATAATTTAGAAACTGACCCAAGTACGGTGTAACTCATGTTTATTGGGACAGTTCTTTGAGAGATCTCGGAATATAAGCGCTATTAGTACGGTTCTATAACTTGGCTTACAAATCACTGATTTTGCTACGAACCATTTGACCGGAATGGAATTCCGGATTCTAATTGATTTTTCAATGATTCTTCCAAATTATGCCGCGACCGCCCATAGGCGTCGAATTGGTTCTAAAATGATTCGGATAGAGTGCTAAAGCCAGAAGGACCAAGGCACTGGTGAGCTCGCTTGATTTCATCATACCATTCATCACAGCTTCATCACAGTTTCTTATTTTTAGTATATCTGATATTATTTTCAGATGTTAATTCAGTATTTTTCTTCTTCTTCTTCTTCTTCTTCTTCTTCAAAAGTCTGTCAAAGGAAACGATTTGTGGTATGAATAAAAAAGATAGTTTAGCCGTTGGAGCTTTCTAATTCGTCGCTCAAAAAGCAAACCTGCATTAATGAAAAACCAAATTTGACATTGCTAGAGGATGACAAAAAAACAAATGTCAGAAAATATTGGACAGACACAAGTGGCACTCGGAAAAATAGTAGTTGAGATCAGAAACTGACTTTATATCAGTATCCTTTGAAATTTTGAAACCTACCGGAATCCGAATACTACGCAAGCATTACTCAACGACTCTGGTATTGTAGAAAAAAACAGAACGTCAAAAGTATCATAGTAAACGAGGTGACAGTTAAGAGTCTCTTCATCACATATTACAGTTTTTATACATACTGGAAGTCATTAAATATATGGGAGTGCAGTATGTACTTAGACAACCGCGTATTCAGACTCATCAGTAAGCAGAAAAATACCGAATTAACCAATCAGAATTGAGAGGAGAAAGCAAATGTACGAAAGAAATAATTATGATTTATCCAATTCTTTTTTGTCTCGATTCTGATTGGTAAATACAGTTTTGTCTGCTTACTGACGACTCTGAATACGCGGTCGTCTAAATACTGCTACGTAACCAAATCTATGTCAGTCAATACATATACTGCAGAAAGATAGAGTTGGATCGGGCCGAGGATATTCAAAGTCTTTCCATTTTGATTGATGCTGATGATGATGATGATGATGATGATGATGATGATGATGATGATGATGATGATGATGATGATGATGATGATGATGATGAAAGAACTAATTTCCTTTAATAAAGTAAGGCACAACTAAACACAAAAATGTAAAGTCAAGATCGACAGTTTAAACAGGTGCACTTCAAGAACCATGGACAAGAGTTCAGTTGATCAAATTTTGACCCAGTTCTCTCCAAAAGAAGTTCTTTGACTCTTCCCTTGAAAGACTCGTGGGGAGCGAAGATGTCTACACCAAGACGGATCAACTCGTTGACGGATTTCTCAACGCGATGAAAGAAGAACTTGTGGTCTGCCACTTCTTTGCTGTTTGAATTGTGGTGTTGGTGGATTTCCGGCTGGTGGTCACCTTAAAAAAGAAGTACGCTGAAAACAGCAGCTCTGTAAGGCCATGTAACATTTTGTAGAGCAGTAATACATCGTTGAAAATGAGATGATAACAGATAGTCAGATTTTTTGTGAGAAATAACTGGTCTTTATAGGGCATTGAATTAATAACCCATTTCAGACACTTTGGATTAGAACTTTCAAGTTTTCGGATATAACATAGTGAAGTAAGCCACAGTGGATGCATAAAAAATGTTACTCTTGATACACATGTTAACAAATATGAGCTTGGTGGATTGAGAGACAGTGAATGAAAACATGCGTTTGATAAAATGAAGAGACTTGTTACATGATAACAGCTTATTATTGAAATGTGTCATCCAGTTCAAGTCATCAGCGACGAGTAAACCCAGGTATTTTACTACATTTGAGGCATTTATGTCCTGGTTGTTGATCATCACATGACGAGGAAAATTGCCTTTGAAAACAATGAGACTGCATTTATTCGTGATTGACCGATAAATAATTTGCAGTACATCAGTTTGTAAAAAAAATTCAATATCATGCTGTAGAAAAGTAATATCAGTTGAAAACAACTTTGAATCGTCAGCGAACAAATAACAACTGGAAAACTCTATACACTCTGGCAGATCATTGTTTGAAAGAAGAAAAACAATGGGCCCCAGGATGCTGCCTTCAGGAACGCCACTAGTAACAGGACGTCGATTGGAAATGTGCGCGTTTATACGAACACACTGTTATCGGTTACAGAGAAACGACGAAAAAAGTAACAAGAAATCATGATCGATACCATACATCGATAGCGTGTTTAGAATGATAACATGCCGAACAGAATCAAAGGCTTTAAACAACAGTAGATGCAACGCTGAAATCACTAGTGTGGTACACTTCATCAAGAAAGGATGACAACTATTTTACAGTTGATCGTTGTTTTCTGAAACCATGCTGAGAGTTTGACAAATGTTTTCGATTCTTTGGATATATATGATTGAAGAGAATTTTCTTAAAAACCTAAACCAAGGGTGTGTAATATACTGATAGGGCTGTAGTTTGTAATGTTATTAGGAGTCCTAGATTTCAGAATCGGGGTAACAAAAGTACATTTCCAGGCAGCAGGCCAGACGCAATTGTTGATAATAGTGTAAAAAAGAAAACTAACAAGGGGGGAAAGTTATAAATAAAAGCAGGAATACAGTCAACAGTACACGTGTTGTTTTTAACGGATTGGAAACATGAATTGACAACCGACGGGGACACGTCGACTTCCGATAATTTGACATCAGAAGCAGGAGAAACAGTCGGTACAGAATAGTCAGACAAAGGCTTCCGAAAAACAGAAGGAAAATATTCGTTGAAAATTTCACCGATAGATTCGTCACAGATAGCTTGCTTACTGCCCCAAAGACGATTGTTGGGAATGATAGTGAACTTCTTAAACTGTTTCGAAAATTCAAAAGCACAAGAAGAAGAAGAGTTCTGAAAAAGCAACTCCTTATCCAAAACAACTAAGTTGATGAAATCACTCTCTAACCAAAACATCTAAGACAGATTTGAAACGTAATTCCGTCGCAGAGTACTGAGCTTAATGCCTAAAGGAATTGGATGAGAAGAGTAGTAATGAAGAAAATCAAGTCTTCTTTTACTTCTTTTAGGGCATGAATCATAAAGTGCGGCTTTAATAGAAACATCAAAAGTGGAGAGGAAATCACTTTGAGAATTTTACCACAACTTGGTGTAAAGAGGTTCTAACAAAAAGCTAAAACATTCCGTGTTGAGACGCTTCTTTGAATACTTTTGCTTTAAGACATCAGGTGTTAATTATTCATCACCAGAGACACGCAAATGAGCGAAATTGGATAATGATCAGAATAGGTCTTCTCTGAACGATAGACAAGAAGTTTCTGAAAATCATTCGACCAGAAAAGATCTAGAGTATTACCAGACAAAATAGTCGGAAAATTTACTAATTGAAACAGGTTGAGATCATCAAACGCGCTCAAAATAATTATCGAATATTCAGAAGATGCATAGTATGAGCCGCAACAGACGTCAGCTAAAGTGAGGTCTCCTAGAACAGCAACCATAGTTTGGTCTGACGGGCAGCAACTGATGTGTTTGAGCACCTCATCACGATGGTTTTGAACAGCGTTCATAAGCGTAGATGACTCAACGCGATAGTCGGAACTGAGAAGTGTATTATAAACAACCATCAAACCAAAAAACGTGTGATTGACTTTGATGACAGTAGAACAACTGAAGTCACAAAAACTATAGGATTGAAGGAGATTTAAAGAATAACCTTTACGGCTTGCAATGAGATCACCACCATGGACAACGTTTAATCTGTCACAGAAAGAAACTACAATGAAATAATTAAATGGGAAAACTTCATGGCAAATATTATCATTATAGAGCCATGTCTCAGTAATAAAGAGTATGTCGACAGAGTTGGAAGAAAGAAACTTAGAAAGCTTGATACGCTGGGAGATTTTGATAAGACTTTGACATTAATAAGGCACAATTTTATTTCTGACAGTAATTCAGGAGCGGTAATTTTCACACCATTATGAAGTAACTTCAGATTACGTATTTTCAATTCTTTTTTCGGAATGTTGTCTCTTGTTGATACATCAGATCTCAGTTTGAGGAGTTTACGCCTTGTGATCTGCTCTGAGGGAGACAACAATTTCTAATTATAAACAGGTGAACAATAAGTTTTCAGCTGCAAGACTTGGATAGAAGCTTCCAGCAATCGAACTGCGAGTAGAACTCAACAAGCAAAATTCTGGGTCGGGACGCATCGGGTTTTTCTGACCATGACTTCTGAATGACTTCACACGCATGTGATTTTTTTTACCCAAGATGTGACAAAATAGAAATTAAATTGAAAATATCAGACTCTGTTTGAAAGTTGAATTCGCCTTTGCTTTCAGAAATAGCATCAAACTTCAAATCACCAATCCAATGATTATCAACTTGAGCAGATACAGGTATAACCGGTACAACAGGCGTGGCAGTACAGCTGCATAACTTGGATTAAAAACTCTATCAATAGTCGCAGGAAGCTCAGTGAGAGCATCCTTCATGACTTTTTGAATAATAGAAGATGAAAGAAAAAAAGACTTCTTTTGTAAACAAATATTGCATTTGAACAGGAGCAACTGAAATTTTACTATTTGTGGTAGAAGATTGACAGGGATTCCCGAGTAGTTGTAGCGATACCAGAGGTCGCATAGGTCACACTGACTCCATTGACTACCACCACTCTTGTTGCACTTCCCGCACAAGTCACCAGGAACACAGAAGACAGAGTGAGCATCTCATCGGTTTTTCTTGACATTGCGAGATATGAAAAAAGAAAGATATAAATGAAGCACAGATAGATCAGGAATGTGAAAGGATTGTCAGTTTACTGTCTCAAGGATGCAGCCAGTGTTACCACGTTGAATCCCGGTTGCGCCTGGCAAGTTCCTTCAGGAAAGTAAAAGAGAATTTACCAATTCCACAAGAGTCTCTATCGCAAGGGGCTCAAAAATCGGGATCGTGGGTAAGTCTGCAGTAGGTATTTTTTTGACAAGTTTCTGCTTCAGTAGCAGCATTGGCATCGGCTGTGCACGCTTATCGCATGTTCGAGATGGCGAGCGTCCTGATGCAAGTGAAATTCCAAGCGAGCGTTCTCCCTCATTGCCATGTATTAAGTATTATTCCATTAGGGCATCGCATTTCATGTTTAAACTTGAACTGTGCGGTTGTACGGGGCTCCGATACGAAGTGCCGCTAATATACGAAACCGACAAAGTTAACCCGAATGTGCGAGAAGGGAGAACATTAATCCATTCACCTGAGCCAACAGCTTTGCAGCCATTGATGCGACTAATGTGGAAGCTGCTCGCAGAGGCGGACAGAATGGTGTGGGACTGTTCTTCGAAAATTGGCTTCAGTCAATGCTTCTGGAGCTGGCTTAAGCCCTTGTCAGTGAAAACGACATTGCAGAGTGATTCCCAGTGTCGGACAGCTTCGGCCATCCACCAGTCAATGACTCTGTCAGATGTTATAGGGCTTCGCAAGTCTGCAGTTGCAACAATAGAGGAAATAAAGGCGGCGGGACTGATGCTGGGACACTGAGGAGACCGATGCCTCCAAGCTTGACGGGAAGAGTAATTTGACTGAAAGAATTGTCGGTGATCACAAAGTTAGGGATTCGTTCGGTTTCATGTCATTTTGATTGATCGATTTCACCGAGGACATCTTCATTTTTGAAGGCAGGACTGGCACAGATAACATAATTGAGTTTGAGATTGAAGAAGCAGTTTTTAACAAGAAAGGAAGCAGTTTGACATGGTGATTGACGAGTTCGGCCGATAAGAGCTATGGTCAAGTTTGTTTTTGAGCTCAAATCTCACCTTGGTGTCTCCTAACCCGGCACCGAGAAGAATGGTTTTCTCTGCTGGCGCACAGTCAACCTTGGGAAACACTTTTTGGAGTTCGTGATAAATAGCCTGTTCGTTGGGACCGAAACTTTAAAATTCTTCTGTTTCAACAAGAGACCCACGTTTTTCGCCCAAGATTCGAGATTGATGAGGTTTGTTAGGACTGTTTGCCATGTGTCGCCTAATTCCACGTCGTCCAGGTGTCCAGATTTGAATTTGCGACGAATCCGTTGGAAAATCCCGTGTATGAGAAAGCAGACTCCAAAAGTGGCAACAGGGTCTCCCTGCTGAAAACTTTTCGCGGACACAATAAGATGATCACGGTGAAAGAGAAAGCTATCTTTTTCATAGAACAAAATTGAGAAATCCGGGGCTTGTTCATGAACGACTTCAAATATGGAATCTTTTCGTACGGTATTAGAAGCATTGGAGAAGTCATATTAGAAGCATTTGGCCCTTAATCTTCTGAGTGTATCTCCGATAGTTATGGGCCGAAATCCACCGCGTTTCTTGGAATTTAAAATCAGAATGGCACTAGCTAGAATTGGTTGGATGAAATCAGCTATGTTATCGGAAAGCAGTAGGTTCGCCAGTTCAGTAAGTGTCGCAATCAAGTTATTACCTGCTTCGTTTGTGAGGGGATAGGTGGCATCCTTCAGGTGTTGGGGTCGCACTGCCTGAAGCAAACGCGAGGACAGCTTTCCTGACTTCTTGTTCAGACATTTCAATCTGCTGTGTGTCCGTGGAAGGATAGGGGCTACGGTTGATGCTCGAGGTATGTTTACTTACTGGTAGGGCCTTGTTCTCAACCGTGGAGGCAACAATAGTGTCGTCGCTGGATGCTAACCTCACAGCGTCTTTGATGTCACCTTCATCCAATTTGTCGGCGACGGCTCTCGTGATGTCGGCGTTGCAGCTCATCTTTTTAACGGGAGGAGTAGAACGTTTGAAGTAATTGCCCTTAATAAGGTTTTTGATTTGACTCTGCACAATGCTGGTCAGGGAAGCCATGATTTTCTTAACACTCGGGCAACAGAAGAAGGTGTACGCAAGCATCGTTTGACTCTGGATTGCTTACAACTTGGCGTATGCAGTCAGTAAGCGTCAGCGCAAAAGTTTCTCTAGCAGCTTTGGGTATGAAATTCATAACAGAGAACCGATAGTTTGCGCATTCTATCCAAGTCACGTTGCCAGAGGGACGTGAACAAGTCTCCCAGATACATAGTGCAGGAGTTGAGATCGATGCATTGTAAGGCAGACGAAGACGATTAAATTCATTCAAGTCAAAATAAATTGATATAAACAAAAAAGCAAGTTACAGCAATAGATAGGGACTTGAAAATAGTAAATAATGAGATCAGCCTATCTGCTCTGAATCTATTTTGAGCAACATAAGATTCAAACAGTAATTGTTTTGAAAGTAGTTAATAATTACTATCATAACAATTATTGAGGTATTTGAAAATGTAAATTACGAACATTTTTGGACATTTGTGCATCACCAGGTTTCAAAGAAATGATTTTTTACCATCAAGAAAAATACCATCAATCATAAAAATATACTAAAACATCGGATACAAAAATAATAAAATTTCAACCAATCAGGAAGCTTGCAAACTTGAAATTACCGCCAATTTTAAATCATGATTATATCATCAGACTTAACTTCCTGAGATGAGACGTTCTCAGAAGTTTATCTTTTAATTATAAATTGGTTTTTTGCTTTGTCTCCTTTTCGAATTTTGCAACCGATCAATGTTTTATTTCTAAATTATTCTTGTGTAACAGCCAAAAATACGTTACCCAAACTATAACTTAGGGGTCAGTTCCCTGCTCCTGATCTCATTGCGCATTTTTGTTCTCTGTCTCTCCTTCCAGATGTGAAGTGCTTCTAATGTCATTATCCTGAAGTTGGTGTTAGCTTCGTCTAGAACCTCCCATGACATTCCCGCGCTCGTGCCCTCATTTCCAGACGGCCTTAGATGTTCTCCTACGAGTACGGGTGAGTCCTCTTTTCGGTCTTCGTGGATTTTAGTGTTTAGATGTTGAACCGTGTGGCCAATATAGGTGGAGTCACATCCATAACATGAAATCTTGTAAGCCAATTTTGATTTCAGTTCACGCGAAAAAGAAGACTTTAAGGATGCTAGTCTTCCTTTGATGAGTCTGTCAAGGGTTCTCGAAACAATTTTATCAGTCCAAGATTCTGGCTATTGATTTTCCAAACATTGTTTTCCATTCACCTTCATGGCCTCATCGAGCTTATTTCATGCTTCTAACAATTTGAAAAGCTGCGCCTTCTTTTATGTTCTTTTTAAAATAGAGTAGAGCGCAGCTCCTGAAATTTAAAATTATCCCTGTATCAATAGATTTTTAATACCATCCGGAGAATAAGTTTGTGTCCACATTAACGTTAATGTCAAGAAAGGTTAAGTTGTCTTTCTCGTTAGCGTTTTCTTAAGTTAAGTGTAGATTAGGATGTAATTGATTTGCAGCGTTTAACAATTCTGTTGAATCTCCTCTCACATTTTTCACGATATCATCTACATACCTTAGGAAGAGTTTTTTCTCTGAGTGTTGGTTTCGTTCTCTTAGTTCACAGCATGCCGAGCAAAACCAAACAGTATTAGCTATATTTCAATTTTTCATTTCTTGAGCTTACCACATTTTTGATGGAACCAATTTAGACCTTTTTCTCATTCAACATCTTTCAGTCTATACGTAAATTTTTTTCTAAAAATCTAAAAAGATGCCATTTACATTATCAATTGTTTCGCAAATTTTGGGAATATCTTCCTTCAAAACAAGTTTGAATTCTTTCCAACCTGTTTCGATCTCTTTTCCACAAAACTGCTAGTAGTACTGCAAGAGAGGCTCCCACAGCCAACCCATCCTACTGTGTATACCAAATATTATTGCATCAAAGTGTACTTGATCTACAGCAATGTTTACCAATCTCTTCATAGTATTGCGTGCAAGGTCTGTAGTCTAATTTATCCTTCTCAATAACCTCTGGTGCTTCTTGCGTGTTTGTTTCGATGTCCGCTCCCAAAACTTGGGCCAATCTTTTATCAAATGTGGGTGAACCTTCAGGCAGAGATAGAACAGGGCGCAGTGGTACGTCCTTCATGTTTTTTTTTGCTAAGCCATACAAACGAGCCGGTTGACTGCCTGTTGACCTCAATTTAGTGAATAGATGCGTACTTATGTCATTGTTTTTTCTCAGACTCAACAGCTCTTCGTTAATGTTTCCTCAATTTTTAACACCACCAATTCATCAGTGTTATTTATTGCTTTAAATTGGTCTGACTGTAAAATTTCAACCAGTTTGTCTTCGTATTGGTCTTTTTCCATGATACAAAATCCAACCCTTTTATCAAATGGCACTGAAGAAAAAGTGTTGTTTTCTAATTATTTCCCAGCTTTTCCACCCCTCTATCAGATGGTATCTGTTTCTCGCTTTACGTAGGCCTTAGGCGCCGCTTCAATCTCTCACAACGATTCTCTGTTACATTCTTATCTTTCAATTGGGATAGAAAATATCCATATAAATCAAAAAATTAATTTCTTTAATTTATCCCGAACCGGATGCTTGGGTTTCAGGCAAAAAATTTCATGGAACCACCTTGGTAAATCAATGCCCTGTAAAGCTATTACTGACCTGTCATTCTTTTTGCCTAGCAACATATCTTGTCTTTCACCAAGATTTTTTGCTTCTGTGCGTTTCGTTCACTCTGCTTTAATTATATCGGTTCGCATTTATAATGATGTGCAACACTGCCGGCCAAAATTTTTCCTCAACCCCCCGCTGCACTACCACTTCGCTTTTCTTATCTTATCGCTAAAGTTCTTCTCGTCAATTCTAACGGGATTTTTTTCCGCTCTGAATAGCTTAAGCTGAAAACAAGGAATGGTTGGTTTGAAAAAACCACGTTTTGAGGCACCCGGATTTGCAAAAAAACCGATATTATATCTTTTTGTAAGCCTTTCATCAGAAACTTAAATCTATGAAAACAATTAGTTAGCTTCAGATACCACTTAAGATAATCTAGCACTAGTTGTTACGAAAGTTTGTTCTTCAGTATCTATCGTAAAAGTGGTGGGGAAAGAATTGTTGAGATCATTACTTCGCAGGCTACGAGAAATGAACCTCACGAGCCACGAAACAAAGAACAGTTTTATGAAGTACCATCAGCTTGATCACTCTCCTTCCGCTTTGCTAGCGCCTTCCTCCTTGTCTGTGATTGTCAATTTTTGGCTGATCTTGCCTGGCCAATCAGACCTCGTATATTTTACCGATTCTCCACTACCAGCCTGAGCGACTTCAACTCCAGGGCACTGTCTTGGTGAAATTCCAAATACTCTCTCACCAACTTTGGCCCGTGTTTTTCCTTCCTCTTCGATAGGAGGTACTTTGTGAGGGGAGTTTGTCACTTGTGTATCCCAGCTGACATGCATGAGGATGACTACTTGTTAGTGGACCGCACTTGTAAAGTAAGCGAGAGAGCACACGCGATAAAAACGACGGGAGTGAGGCGGTGAATAGTCGTGATCTGCCCTTGGACTTGAAATTAACTGAGCGAATAGAAGTCGAGGACGACACCCTCCCTCATGCTGAGGAGGAATGGAATGACCCAGACCAAACTGAAGTCAACAAAGGAGTAGAGCCTAACTTTCACTTGACCACGGAGACGCGACAGAGCAAGAGGGAAAGAGACAAGAGGGAATACAATCTGTACGGAAAAGTTTTTGCCATAGACAGAATTGCACTAGACAATATAAAGGACTCAGTGGTGGAGTTGAATGAGATAATGGTCTTCGAGGACATCGAACTGGTCGACGATACATAGACAGACTGAATCGACGACCAATCAAAACTGGAAATGAAGTTTGAACCTGAAGTGGAACAATTGCATGCGCAAGAGTTGACAAACTTGCGAGTGCTCGAAAGAATCCATGATCTGCCTGCATACCCAAAGAAGACAGTCCTGAAGATACAGGATGTCGATCAATCTAGCATCAAATACATCAGTTACGCCAACACTGAGTCCAACTGGGTCGCTCCAGATGAACCATTGTGCCTACTTTGAATACAACCTCGATCTGCTCGATTCTGGGCAATCGACGGGGACGTCGATGGATATGATTGTCCAGTGAGTGGGGGTAGGACTCACGCACACCAACAATCTTATGATAAAAAAAATTGGCAAGGGAAACAGGAAAACTGGAAAAGGAGTGAGAAAACCCTAAACAACCGGCTTTGAACGTTTTTTTGATTAATATTTTGATCTATCTAATGACTACTTGAATAATATTGTTTCGACAGGCAGTGATTTTATACTCACGGCACACATATGCGCCATAGCGATCACTGCGGATGTATGTTTTAAAACAGCACAAGCTGTCGACTTTAAAAGAAAGTATAAGAATCTTGAGTTGGTGGAAACAAAAGCCTGGTGTAGAAGGGATGATAGCGTTGTCCCCTGTTGCATCACAAATACCGGAAAAAAATGTGTTTTTGGTGACCAAGGTCACCGATAAAAAACACGTGAGCCCCAAAAGTTCAGTGCTGGAAGTAACTCGACTCAAGAAATTTCTGGTCGAGAGAAGATTCAACTCGCTCTGGTTACAGGTTTATGATCCCAAAACGGGAAAACTACATCCCAGAGAGTTATATGCTCTACAAGAAGTCTACTTGCATAAGAAGTGATATCTAAGCATATGATAACGCTTCGATTAGGGTTAAAAGTTTTTCTACTTAGTTTAGCTTTTAAATATTAGGATTAAAGTAATAGGTTATGTATTAAGAAATAGGTTTTTTTGTTACTTTAATTAGAACAATGTTGATGTAGTCTTTATGTTGTGTATTTGCGCACCGTGACCTCGACTATTTCAAATGCAAAACAGGACAGCATCTGATCATCTTGAATCAAAATAAATAGAGGTTAACGCTCTACCTCGGTGCTAGTTTTTAGATCAGGAGAATAGAAAATTTCAATTGAATGCTTTTA